GGAGACCTGTCCAGGTGTCCCTGTGATGGACTGGAGACCTGTCCAGGGTGTCCCTGTGATGGACTGGAGACCTGTCCAGGGTGTCCCCTGCCTCTCGCACAGTGATGACTGGACATGGGCACCAGTGGCACCAGTGACCCCCGCGACCCGAAAAGGAAGAAGCGGGTAAAGACGATGGATGAACGGATGAACTTGCTGTCAGTGAAAATAGAAACGCAGGTTTACCTTAAGGTCTTCTCTTGATCCAGGTTGCTCAGAGAATTAGCTTTAGGGATCACTCCACCTGATTTCAGGGGTAACTCTCCAGCCTAAAACAGTAAAAGCAGCACAGTAAGTCTCTCTTTCTGTAACCCCAGATTACTGATGGGATTATTAGGTAACCCATTTACCCTGCTCCCAGATGAATCCCCTCCATCTCTGACTCGGTCCACGGACACAGAACGTTTGTTCTCAAACATCTTGACCCTCGTCAGGACCGACTGGGGCCGCATGGCGGGATCTTCCTCCTGACGCTCATCTCCGACAGGAGCAGGCTTTGGAGCTTCTCCAGGGGAGGGGGAGGGGGCTTCTGCTTTAGGAGGAGGTGTACGGCTGGTCTCAAAGTTCACAAGAGAAGGGTCGTACTGCTGAGGTTTGTAGCCCCTCAGCTGTGATGGGGCTCCCTGGTTATAGGCAGGTCGCTGGGCGGGGGGTTCTGGGGAGCGAGCAGCTGAGGGGTACGTGCCCAGGTGAGAATCCTGATCGTAACGCAGATCAGACCCTTGAGGAGGGGGTGGGAGGTCACTGTAGTGGACAGGTCCCTGACCTGCTGGTTTACCGTAACGAGGCCGCCCATCAAACCCCTGCTGAGGCGGGGGCTCGTCGTAGCGCAGAGGCGGGGTGTAATGCGGGTCAGGGCCGTCACTGTAAGGCGAGCGGCCATCATAAGCCTGGGCGTTAGCAGCAGGGGGTGACTGGCTGTAGGGGTTCCACTGCTGCTGGTCGTAGTGAGGCACGCTGTTTTCATAGAGCGGGACGTGATCGTTGCTCCGGTACTTTGGTTCCGTGTAACCGACCCCACCGCTGCTCACGTCATACCGACTGGGTGGGTGGTCATAATCTCTGTACGGCTGCTGAGGGCTGTAGTTCATCGGCTTCGTGCTGTTTGCCATTCTCCCTGCGTTGTCCACGCTATAGGGATCTTTCTGAAACATCTGCCAAACAACACAAAGAATGAGACTAAAACAGCTGCAGGCTCCTCTGACTGTTGCACAAACAGAAAATGTTGCAAAAGAACGAAACACACAAAAATCAGTTGAAGGATCAAACACTAAAAGCAAGTCCTTGAAAGTAATGGCAGGAGATTAACAGCAAGGGAAAGACCTGAAATAGAAACACTGAGAGGGAAGAGTTACTCGTCACATCATTTTGAGACAAATGGAAATCACAGCACAGCGAAAAGTTGCACAACCAACCAATCAATAAATCAATAAAACTGTGTACCACTCTTAACTCAATTACTGAAATCAAACAAAGCAGAAATAACCAACATTTAAAAGCTACACCAGAACACTGGGTTTTTATTTTAATGATCAAATGTGACAAAAGGAGCAAAATGTACTTTGTATTATAAATTGTTAAGTGTAAATTATGAATCTAATTTCAGATAATTAAACAAATACTTGTAACTGTGTCAGATGTGCAACTAGAAACACGATGGTGTCCCAGTGTGTTGGTGCAGTCGTAAAGAAATGTCCAGTCGTTTTACAGAAACAAGCACAGACTCGTAAATAAAGAACACGTTGAAGTTTTAGATCTGACAAGTAACCACAAACTTTCCATCCAGCTGTTAGCCGTCACTTTGCCAGATGTTGCTTAACGTACGCAGACTGAAACTTTTTGATATAAAGTGGTCAGAAAGTAAATGGTTACTTTTACAAAGAAACAATAGTTTCATTTTTGGTTTTAGTGTTGACAGAGCAGGAGGCAGACAAGTTGCAGCCATGCAAAGAAAAGCAACAGTTTCCACCGCCCTTCAGCACGAAGAGCATCAGCCACCAGCTCCAAGCTCACCGTTGTGGACCAGCACACGCACGTGCGCACACACACGCACACACACCTTTGTCTCTGTGGGCAGCACCTGATCAGCCGACATGCAGGGCAGAAAGAGAGAAAGAAGGTAGACAGGCAGCAGCAACACAGAAGATCAGCTGGGCCAGACCGAGCAGAGCCGAGCCGGGCCACGAAGCGTCCGCTGACCATCAGATGGATACCTTTGGTTCTGAACTGGCCAGTCCAGACTGTAGGGGTTCTGGTGTGATGCTCTTAGGGGCTAGCTCAGGGGTGAGCCTCCTGAGGGAGCCAGCCTGGTGGCTGGGGCTTGGCTTGCTGTAAGGGGCTGCAGGAGCATCATCGGGGCCCGGGGCCCCTACGGTTTTTACTGAAACATCCACAGCGGAGGGAAATGCCTCAACCAGGGGCTCTGCCTGCTGGGAGGCGCTAGGTGTGACAGCAGCTTCTGCTTTCTGTGAAGTGGTTCAGAAATGTTTAATAACACGTGCGGACATACGACGCTGCAGTTTTAACAAGTGCCTCAGCCCCTCTACAACCCTCTGACCGCTACGTCTACAAAACAACCCGTCTCCTGCTGAACAGCAGCTGCAGATCAGCAGGAGACATCGACAGGAATTAGCAGCAGGACAAGCTTTTGTTGTTAGACAAGACTAAATTGAGTTTAATGCTACGGTTTCAATACAGGAAGTGCGTCTCCTCTCTTCGTGTGACTGCCCACACAGAGGACAAAGGGTTTGTTAGCAGGTCCCAACTGCCTAACGAGTAATACTTGTACATTTCACGAGTACACTGCAGTAACACTGATATTTTCATCATGCACATAATACTTCCTAATGTCACGGCGTCTCGAACACAGTCCAACAAAGTGCACGCCGGCGAGTACAGACACTGATGAACAAACATCTGGGTGTTTTTTGACATGAACAGGCAGACTGTTGAGACACCTCGTGGTTTTTTATACAAGTCTCTTTTTCTCATCGTTTTAAAAATAAAAAAAATCACTAACAAACAGTCAATATAGAGGTATATAGATAAAATAGATATTGTAATAAATTATATATATATATTATGTTAAATACTGTGAGCACGAGTTTTCACTTTCTCACGGACGTTGTTTTGCAGCCGCTGACAGAGGAACTGTCAGAAGTTAAATAAAAACGTGACTTCAATAGCGCCTCCAGAAAACCCTTCTAACGCACACCACGTCCTCCAGACAACAGGGGAGACGTGCAGCTCTCAGAAACGCTACCTGCTGCGGCGCTGGTGCCTTGAACCCAGCTGGGTCGATGCGGTTCAAGGGGTCCGGCTGCGCTGGGTGCTGGAAACCAGCATAACCAGGAGGCTCCTGGATGACGGGCGGTTCTTCACGAACAGGTTCAGAAGAGCGGGTGATGGCGAGCTCAGCTGGAGGACCCACGTCGTCGTTGAGCGTTTCGTCCAGCTCTTGGTCAGTGTAGGCTCCTCCCTCTGTGTCCGTGTCCTCGTAGTCGGAGGTGTGCCGGCTGTCAGTGCTGTACATGGAATACTCACTACCTGGTGCCGACAGGTAGGACAGGCGGTCGTCATGGATGTCCAGGTCGTCCTCAGCTGCGCCGTCCGCCTGAGAAGAACACAACATGGGAGAAAGTAAATAGCAGAGTAAACAGCTGTTGTTGTTGTTGTTGTTGTGCATGTCGTACCTTTCCTTCTGAAACCCACACCAACTGGTTCTGCTGCTGCTGGATCAACTCCTTCAGGGCTCCAAACCAACCATCGTTCATGCTGTTCAAGTTGATGGTCGCTAAACGCACACAGACCACAGCAATTCATCACAAACTACCAGCCCAACGAACAACAGACGTCATTAAATACAAACACCAAGAGCAACTAAAACATCATTAAAAAATTTAAATGCTCACTTTGTGGCGTTTTCTTAAAGAAATTAAAAAACAAGGAGTTTGGAGACGCGCACTGTGACGACCATTTCTCCAGGGACCCGATAAATATGACCAAACTACTGAAAAGTGAAATGTAATATTTTTATAAAGATCACAAATAAATTATGTTTTTATGTCGAAAGTTCTCTGACGAAGTCAAACAGAAGAAATCTTTGTTTGTTTCCATCGATTGTAGTTTTGTTTCACTTCAGATGACTTTTCTCATCTCGACTTTAAACACAAAAACACAACAAAGTGAAGTCTGCTGGCGCCTCATAAAGTTAATAACTTACTTTTTATGTATTTGAATGTTTCTGTCCAGTGACCTGAGACGACTTCTCTTGTGTCTTGGTGCTTTTTAAACAAACTGAATTAAGTTTTATATTTTCTCCAGCAGACACTAGAAAAGGAAACATCCTAACGAGCATCGTTGACAAATATCAACTCATTTTACGGCCGAAACCAGAAGTTTACATACACTACTTAAAAAGACACGTGCACTTCTTTTACACCGACGTGAAATCAAATAAACTTTTCCCGTTTTAGGCCAATTAGGATTACCAACTTTTTGTTCTATTTACAAAATGCCAAAAATAATGAATGAGATTTTTTTAAGGCAATTTTTATTACTTTCTTCAAAGTCAAAAGTTTAAATACACTAAGATTACTACGTCTTTAAACAATTTGAGACGTTTGATGTCGTGTCTTTGGAAGCTTCCGATTGGTTTATTGATAAGCTCTGCGTTAATCAGAGACACACCTGTGGGTGTCATTTAAGGAACACCTGAAACACGCTGCTTCCTTGTCATGGAGTGAACGCTCCGGGTCATTGTCCATTTGGAAGACCCGTTTACAGCCAAGCTTCAACTTCCTGGTTGATGTCTTGAGATGTTGCTTCAGTATTTCCACATATTGCTCTTTCCTCATGATGCCATCTAGTTTGTGAAGTGCACCAGTCCCTCCTGCAGCAAAACAGCCCCACAACATAATGCTGCCGCCCCCGTGTTTCACAGTCAGGACGGTTTCCTCCAAACAGTTCAGTTTTAGTTTCTTCAGACCACAGGACATGTCTCCAGAAGCTACAGTCTTTGTCCCTGTGTACAAACATGAATCTGTTGATGTTTATTCTGAAGTACTGGCTTCTTCCTGGCAGAGGGTCCATAGTTTCACTGTGGGTAATGACTCTGACCAGCTTCAGCCAGCACCTTCACCGCGTCTTTTGTTCTTGGGTTGAGCTGCACATCTTGGACGTTCATCTGTGGGACACGGAACCCGTGTCCTTCCTGAGCCGTCTGATGGCTGGACATTCCCATCTTGTTTGTACTCGTGCCTAATTGTTTGTACAGATGAACGCGGCACCTTCAGGCATCTGGAAGCTGCACCCAAGGATGAACCAGACCTGAGCACGTCCACAATTCTCCTCCTGATATGATGGATGATTTATTTAGACCAGGGGTGTCAAAAAAAAAGGGAGGGCCAAAATTAAAACCTTTTTCAAACTAAGGTTTCAGAATCAACATTAACTCAAGTTCGAAACCAACATCTTTTCTTGGTTGCAGGTTCCTCAACAGGAGTTTGACTGGTCTCACTCTCTGTTGAACTTTTGACATCATAATCAAAGACTACTGAAAACAATAAATAAAGTCATAAATGTACTTTACATTTAAAATAACATGTGGGGGGCCGGACAAGATGTCAACGAGGACACATTTGGCCCACGGGCCTCGAGTTTTAGACACTCCCATGATGTTACACAAGGAAGCGGCGTGTTTCAGGTGTTCCTTAAACGACACCCACAGGTGGATTAACTCAGCTTATCAATAAACCAATCGGAAGCTTCCAAAGACACAACATCAAATGTCTCAAATTGTTTAAAGACGTAGTAATCTCAGTGTATGTAAACTTTTGACTTTGAAGTAATAAAAATTGCCTTAAAACATTCTCAATCATTATTGTGGCATTTTGTAAATAGAAACAATTCTGGTAATTCTAATTGGCCTAAAACGGGAAAAGTTTATCCTGATTTAACGTCAGACAGTGTGAAAAAAGTGCACGTGTCTTTCTAAGTAGTGTATGTAAACTTCTGACTGTACATGCAAGTCTAAATTTCCAAGTTATCCATGAACATCTAACAGAAAAAGAGGTTTCGATTCACCTCGCTGGCTTCAAGTTATCCTCCAGTGAAGTCCTGAGTTTGTGTGAAAATGCAGTTTCCGTTGGCCACAGCATCTCGTGTAGTGACGCTACACATGAACTTACTGGTAAAGAGGTGGACGTTGTTCTTCCTCAACTTGAGGGCTCGTTCATAAAGCTTCCTCGCGCTCTTCCTAGACTCAGGGCAGAGCCTGGTCCTCATGTTCTTCACACCCTGCTTGCTGTCTGGGTTGAGAAACGCCACAATGGGATACCACTGAGCATAGTTCAGGCGGTCCACTGCGTTAGGGGTGATGTCCAGAACTGCATGCTTGTCCTTCAGGTGCAGAAAAGCAAAAACGTGCGTTCAGTCAACCTTTATTCCTACAGTTAGTCCCGCTGAGCCTCGAGGACTCTTTTACAAGAGAGACCTGATTTAACAAAGAGTGACGACAACAGTGGATGATCATAACATAAATATAAATCGAAAACGTAAATGGAAGAAAATTATTATTTTTTAAAACAGCTAGGTTGTAAAGTGACGTAGAAAACTAACAACAGGAACATCTGCAGGAACTGAACAGATGTTTGAAGTCACTTAGAGAGGTCAAAGGTCGAGAGCTTCAGATGTTTTTACAAGATATTCCAGGAAACAGGAGCGGAGTAGGAGAAGGTCCTTTTGTCTAGTTCAGTCCTCACTGAGGGAACACTGCAGGTAATGATGTCCTGAGAGCGCACGCTGTAGCTGCACTCACACAGAGACATGTAGGAGGAGATGTATGAAGGCAGCAGACCAAGAAGTGATTTAAAGATGGAAATGTACCAGTGGGAGAGTCTGTGTGAAGTTAATGGTGACCAGTTAACCAGTGAATACTGGGTGCAGTGGTGGGTACAGCAGTTACAGCACGTGCTTTAAATATGCGCATGTTCCATGTTTTGGGCTGTTGAGGTTTTAAAAATGTCGTAACAACAAGCTAACATGAAGTGCTGCTCCTGTATTTAGCTCAGGCATTTGTTTGGATTTCTTTCTGAAGACTCAACTGAGGATCACAAGTGTTGACCAGAGGAACCCCCACCAGAGGGCAGCAGTGAGCTGTGAACAGATCAGGTCCACTTCCCAGGCTTCAGTCATCAACACATTTCATGACACACCTTATGTTTGCTAATCAGTTTGACTCACTCTGTCGATGATCTGTTTGATGGTGTGCAGGCGAATGATGCCGGAGCTTTTCACGTCGGTTCCTGCGTCCCTCGGTTCGCTCTCTGTGGAAGCCAAATGGACCGTCAGCGCCTCGCACAAGCACAAGACCAAACACAATAAACACAGGCTGCGCCCTAATTAGACATCTTTGTAGCGTGCAGTTGTCAACTCCCATAAATAGAAAGAACAACAATCATTGCACTGTAGGAGAGGACAAGTGCACGTTCATGAAAACGGCCAGATAAAACAAAACGAGGACAGCAGCAACTTCATGCAACAAAAATGTACTTTTGGTTGGAATTAGGTGGAAATCAGTGTTTAATAAATGTTTGTGCTCACGTGCACACAGCAGCGTAAATAATGGTGCAGGAAATGTGTTACGTGTGTAAGAGTGATATTAAATGCACATGAGCAAGATGGTCATTTGGGATTATTGAGAATACAGAATCACTGTAAAGCCTCGGGGATTTGTGCAAGAATGTGAAGAGGGGTTTGTAATTCAAACAAAGATAAGCAACGGCTTCCTGCCTCGAAACACAAAGTGCAAAAGAGCGCACTCGTCACAGAACGCCCCGTTCAGCCAGGACTGAAACGCATGAGGCCAAGGCCCAGTTTGTTAAAGGAGCTAAGAACTGGAAACGCTGTTTTACATGATAATCCAGATGTTTAGCAAAGAGCAAATAAATACAGCCATGCACAGAGACGTTCAAGCGTACGCAGCAATACTTAGTTTGTAGTCTGACCTTTCCTTCATTAGGATGATTGGAGATTTCAAAACTCCACTTTAATTTTACTTTGGCAAAGAATTGTTTTTCCTAATGAACGCTCGACGAGTGAAGAACTTATTTACAGACGCTCGTCTATTTTTTCCAGATTATTGTCAGAAATTTGCTAATGTTTTTAAACCCACGTTATAGTTAGGGTTCCTACACATTTTCTATTTTTAAAGGGACATACTTCTCCAGGCTAAGTGTTGTTAATATGGTCGGATATAAAGATATTTTTTCTTTAAAAAGCTGAAACTTCTATTACAATATGAACCAAAAGAGGACGTCATGGTCATTTTATCTTTAACATCTAATGTGAAAGAAAAAAATACTTCTACAGTTTGATATTATTTTCTAAAAAAAATACAAATGCTCAGATTTTCAGGGCTCATTTCTTTTTTCATACTTATCCAGACTTGGAAAATAATAAAATCAACATCCATACAGTTGTAGACATTTGAAGACTGCACAGGAACTCTGTATCGTGCACTTCAGGGCTTTCAACAACTATCATGGGAACAACTATTAAAAAATTAATAATTAAATGGATGAATGCAAACAATGTGATATAAGACTCGAGGAAAAACAAGTTGCCAGCTTTATTACAGGCTTTCATATTAATATAATCACAATTTTATTTATTTTTAAATAATGTAAGTTATGGGCAAATACACACACACACTTTAAAAAAGTATAAATATTCTTGACAAATTGAGTATTTCTAGCCTTGTAACTGCTGCCAGTCCTTTGTTACAGTGGGGGCACGATGTTGTTAAGTTCATTAAAACCTGAGTTGTGTTACGATGCACGCAGCTCCACATGCAGCTTCTGTGGTTTTATCTTTGAATCTTAAAATGGGTATTAAGGAGGGGAATACCACTTAATTTAATAGTGATCTTATATTTCTGTCCTGGGGAAATGTTTTTAATATTCTCCACTGCATTTTGTATACATTTTATTTGTCCACATATGACCGAGTTACAAAACAAACTGTTTTCTCACCCAAAAAGTTTAAAGTTTGTTTCGATTTGTGTGGAACAGCAGCCGAGTGTCGAAATGAGAACGTGTTTCTGCTTCGTTGAATTTTAAACCTCCATCGTTCTTGCATGGACAGAGGAAGAATGTTCAAATTTAAATTTAAATTAAGTGTTATTCCCCTAAATGCATTGACCAAGCAACGGCTAGAGTTTAAACATGAACAGAATAGGGCACTATGCACCAAACACTTAATAGATCATCTGCCATTTACTGAACAAAACATAAGAAAATGAATCTGATGCAGTCAGTGACGTACTTTCCCCTCCTTGCTGCTGCTGTGTTTCTGAAAAGAAAGTACAGTTACATAAACATCAGTGGAGTTGTGCAAATGAACATTAAGGGATGGAAACACTGTGGGCGTGAGCTCAACGTGCGCTTGGGTGTGCACTTTAAAACAAGTGAAATCGAAAAGTGTTCAAGCAACAACCTCTTATTTAAGATGGCTGAGATTTGAATGAATACGAGGAAACAGATGAGGACTAAAACTAAGGCCGAGATCGTTTCGTCATTGGACTCGGTGTGACCTCGAGTTGGAACAAGACGCTGAACCACTGAGGACAAACGGTGAACAAGACACTTTGGCCTCCCAGAAACTGAATCATTCACAACCATGAACTTTGTCAGTTTCTGCAGAAACGCTGAGCAACACGAGGACGGCACAGACGAGTCAGCTCCATGTTTTTATCTGCAAACCAGTCTCAAGAAGATTTGATGCTGGGAATAAACCGCCTGCTTTCACCTGTGTGCAACAGGTGAGCTCAAACTCTGCTCTCAATCCAACGTTTGACGCACGGCATGAACATTCGACACATGATTACTTACTCGCTAGTTCAAAAACGTGCGGCTCCTCTCTGGCTAACTTCTCTCTGGCCACGTCAGCGATGGGCCCAAAGACGACCACCGGCCTCAAGAAGCCGGCTGGAACGAGACCACAGCGTTAAATGCAGGTTCAACGATGCAGCGGGAGGAGGAAAAACAAACCACACCCAGTTAGAAAACTGCAACACATCTGGTTTTTACTTCATTAAAAAAGTTGTGAATTTGAACCAGCAGCCTTTTCCTCGATTTAAGTGTAAAACATGTAAAACACCAAACATTTACACGGCCTGCAGTGAACAGGTGCTCATCTCAAAACATGAGACCGACGTGAAAAAGTTTCAGTTTTCATGTCAATCCTTCCAGAAAGTGAAACTCGCTTATAGATTTACTACACTGTGAAATATTTCAAGCCTTTACTTCTTATAGTTTTCATGATTGTGACTTAAAAACTAAACTCAGTGTCTCAGAAAACGAGAACATTGTGAGAAGGTTCAAGAGTGTAAACTCCTGGTGTCATCAGCTGATGGACTCCTGGACACCAGCGACAAACGTCTCACTCCTCATGTCCAGCCACTCCTGAACCAGAGACATCAGAAGCGTCTTACCTGCTGAGGACACAAAGACCTGGACTGTCTCTCCATGGTCCAATGTCCTATTTTCAGATTGAATGTCATTTATAAATGAAGGTCTCAGAGTCTGGAGGAAGAGAGGTCCAGAATCCACGTTGTTGAATTCAGAGTGACGTTTCCACAGTCAGTGATGGTTTGGGTCCATGTCCTCTGCTGGTGCTGGTCCAGTGATGGTTTGGGTCCGTGTCCTCTGCTGGTGCTGGTCCAGTGGGTTTTCTTAAGTCCACAGTCCATGCAGCATCTGGCAGGACATTTTAGAGACTTGGTTCTGCTGACGAGCTTCATGGAGAAACTGGTTTAATTTTCCAGCAGGACTCGGCTCCTGCCCACACTAACTGGAACCAGAAGCTGTGGATGATTCTCATTTTATGAGACTCTGAGTTTATAATCATCAAAATCACAAGAAATAAAGGCTTGAAATACTTTGATGAATCTATACGAGTTCCACTTTCTGGAATGACCGACACAAAACTGAACTTTTTCATGATGTTCCAACTTTTTAAGATGCACCGAACTGCCTTGGCCTCTGGACTCGTACCTTCCCGCAGCACAACCCTCTCATAGGCGGGGAACTTGGTCTGAACCGGCTGGGCTGACAGGTCCTCCCTGCTTTTACGCAAATTCCTTTTGGAGCTTCTCAAACCTCTGAATCTCCAGAAGTCGGCTCTGTCGCCCCCCGGTGTTTTAGGAAGGGTGTACTGCACGCTGGACAGCTGCTCAGCTCTGGACAGCAAGGAGAGGGTAAAAAGGTTTCGGGTTAAGCATCGAGGATAAAATAATAATTTTAATGTAAAGACATTTTGCTAATTATGATTTTAAACTGGGCTCAATTCCATGTTTAGATGACCTGTAAGAGAAACAGCCTTTCACCATCTGCAAACCAGGGGCTCAAAATAAAACCAGTACTTTTGTACAACGGTGAGTACGATAAACGCTTGAATCAACATCAGGTTTCTACAAGTTATGGGAATAAATTACTGCACGTAGATCAATAACATTTACGAGCCAAAAGACAAAACCCTCAAGGATCGGAGGTAAACGAGCAAAAGTAAATGGTTTTGAGTGATTTCAACCTTCCTGCTTATTTTGAAAATATTACACTGTGAGAGTATTCAGTACCGTTACACAAGCGGGGCGCCCCGCCCCGTCAACAGAACTGAGCGCCCCGCCCCCTCAACAGAACCGAGCGCCCCGCCCCGTCAACAGAACCGAGCGCCCCGCCCCGCCAACAGAACCGAGCGCCTCGCCCCCTCAACAGAACCGAGCGCCCCGCCCCCTCAACAGAACCGAGCGCCCCGCCCCGTCAACAGAACCGAGCGCCCCGCCCCGTCAACAGAACCGAGCGCCCCGCCCCGTCAACAGAACAGAGCGCCCCGCCCCGTCAACAGAACCGAGCGCCCCGCCCTGTCAAAAGAACTGAGCGCCCCGCCTACCGAACCGTGCGCGCCCCCACACCCTGAAGCATTCACCCTCTGAGTCACAAAAACCCGCCTCCAAGAGCGGTTTGCTGTGCATATACAGCGCCCAGGTGTGTCGAAGGAAAATGTTATTCAGCGGCAGAAAGCTCAGCAGCCTGTCAAATAAAATACTAAAATTAAATTAAAAATACATAAATTAGCTGCTCCCGTGTATAAACTGCAGAGTCCAACGTGTGAGAAACACCAGAAATTACAGTAAATGTAATTAGCCGTTTAGAAAAACCAGCAAAGACACCGTGAATACAAAATTACACGAATATGTGAAATGCTGCTGCTCACATGAATAAAATTAAAATCCTGCCTAAATTGTTCTTTTCTAGTCTCAGACGAACAACAAAGTTTATACCGTGTTGCAGCGTGATCCTGGGGAACACGTTTCATTTCAGAATGTACTTGTACGTAGCTGAAATGACAATAAAACCTCCGACCCCTGTTCCACCCAATGTTTCCTCGTTCGGACCCAGAAGAAGCTGTGCAGGTATGAAAAGGCGTGACCAAATACGTCACCTGTTCTTGTTGGGGATGATGCCTCTTTCCACTTCCTGGTGGTTCTTGCCAATGCGAATGGCGAGCCAGGATCCCAGTTTGCCGTTGTAAAGCGTGTCCACTACGCGGAACACCTCGCCCTTGTTGAAGCTCAGTCCGTACGGAGATTCCTTTTCATATTCAAAGTGTGTCCGAATGTAAAAGGAGTCTCCTACGTCCGACTCAACGATCCTCCGGTACACTGAAATCAAACACGAGAACAGCTGGTGAGAAACGTGTTGTTATTCAGCAGGTGCTGGAGTGTGGGCCCGACATGTTTAAACTGCAAACAGAACATGAAGTACTGTCGTCGCTCACCGTCTTTTTTCTGCTGGGCCAGAATGTCAACGATGTCTCCTTTAGGGAGATCCAACAGAAACAACACGGCCTCTTCTCTGATGATGTTTGCAAAGTCCACGTTATTCACCTAGACATGGAAAAGGATAATCAAGTAACTCGTGTGCTTCAGGACTAGTGTTGCATCACACCTTTACAGGTTTTTAATGTTTTAAATAAAAACTGTAAAGTTGAACAAACTTCATGCTCATTTTTCTGATATTACAAATGTTAATTGTTTCCATTGAAAACATCTCAACAGGAGCAGTTTGCAGTCCAACTCCAGCAGCACTCCCGTCTCCTGCTGCCGTCCTGAACACAATAACTGCTGTTTATTGACTCTGCTTGAGGAGGAGCAGGGGAATCAGAAACACATGGACCAGGTCACTAAACCTCAAAAAGACACCTTTATCCTTCCCAGAAACAGGTTTCTTTATCTCCACTAGCACACCATGACCAAAGGGAAACCACCCAAGGTGGAAAACAATGTCCTGGAAGTGTTTCAGATGTTTGTACAGTCCAGAGAGCACATGGGCGCAGAATGAGAGAAAGCAGAAACGCACTTTAAGCTTTGGAGGGGAAGAAACAAACTAATTGATTTGTTTGTTTATTGGATAAACAGTTTGTAAACGTTATTTCAATGAAAAGGTCTATAATTAAACATCCTGCTCCTGTTACAGGTCAAAGTTCACCTTTACGGTCGTAGAGCAGGTTTAAGACTGGATCCAGCTCTGGCACAAAGAGGGCTTCCATCATTTCATCTGCAAAGTTAAACTAGTGTTCAGTGAAACAGTCAGTCCACTGTTGTGAGGTCAGAAGTCCAAGAATGACCTCCACTGTGTCTTCACGTTAGAAACAAAGAGTTGGACGTGAGTCGCAGCTGGAACGACTCACAAACTGAAAGACGCATTGTTTCCCTAGATCTTTGCTCGTGCTGAAGTACGACAGTGGCTGTTCACAGCTTCTTTACTTATAATCTGTGACAGTGCAGGAAGCAACTTCTTGTTTACTTTGAACTAAACAAACACCACATGTTCCCACTGCAACCACATGAGAGTGGGAACATGTGGAAGGTGCTTTCTGTTGTAGACGCCTCTGAAATACAGTCGGTGTGCATTTCAGGTTTACATGTGAAAATGAAAAGACTCGAGCACATACGGGTGAGAAACATCAAATGTGCAGTCCAGCAAAAAGGGTGTTTCTAAAGCCGTGTGCACTCACTCAAAGTGCACGCTGAGATGAAGTTACTGCCTTAAGAAAACAAGAGTCACGCTGCTCAACAGGGAGTGTAGCATACCCTGAGAATCTGGTCCCCCTCCTCCAGCCCCTCCCTGGCAGCTGGACTGTCCTCCAAAACTCCCGCCACAAATATTCCCACGTCGTTCCCTCCTGCTAGCCGCAAACCCACGCTCTCTCCCTTCTTGAACTTGACCAGCTTCATACTCGGCCTGCGGGAAACAAAACGTTTAAAACACGAGATAAACAGAGTGAAGACAGAAAGTCAGCAACTAAAGGATTTTAAAAAATCATTCCAAGTGACCCAAGAGACAGCAGGTGGGTCAGGCGAGCACAACAATACGTGCACTCGATGTACTTTGCACTTCATGCTGTGAGGAAGAAAATAAAATGAAACAATCTGAAACATTTACCTAAGAATGCTGTCATCGTGAGCGGCACTGGGAACAGGAGCATCAGACGGGCTGACGGGCAGGTCCACGTCAGGCTGACCAGGCTGCGCATAAACCGGCTTCGGTTCTGCAACAAACAGAAATCACTGAGGAGAGCGTGATATTTAGACGCCTGCATCGGTCTTTATGGGAACACAACAAGATCCCAAATAAGAATCAGGAGAAGCTTTATTGTCATTGCACAGTTACGTACAACAAAACTACGTTGCGTGCAGCCGTCCTAAAGATGGACAGGTGTCCAGGGGCTGCAGCTTCTAAGAAGCGCTGCCATTAGATAAGAAAAAGGGACGACGGCATAAAGATATATATATATATATATATATATGTATATATATATAAAGATCTCACACCGTGTCCTTGATTTAGCATGGTTTAAGGTGTCAAAATGACGGTTTAAAATAAACTAAATCAACCTAAATGTTTGCTGTCATTGTTGCAGACACATTTTTCCCAGAAATATACAGAATTTTTTAATAGTATTTCTCAGAAAAATGCATAAAATTTAATTTATTCACAAAACAAAACAATTTATCTCAATCACAAGTTGATGCAAATTATTTGTTGAGTTTGCAAAATTAAATAATAAAGAGTTTTAAATAAAAAGTTTAGCTTTTTTTCTCCTTAAACAAACCTCTAGGAGTCACTCAGATAATAATTAATTAATTAATTAATTCCACCATTATTTACACAGGCTAGACCTAGCATACCTAAACCTAGCACATAATGTGTTTTACAGGCTGGGTAAATATACGGGCAGGTAAAAGTTTAGCACTAAAACAAGTTGCAACAAATAATCTTTAATATTGACAAGAAGTAGTTCCTCTACCAGGCAGCGGAGGCAACTGCTTGTCGTCTCTGGAGCTGGCCTGGTCACTGGCCTGAGACAAGACGCCATCATCAAAGCTTTTGACCGGCGTGGACATGCCTCCTGGTTTGGAAATGCGATCCTCGTCTCGACTTCGATGGCTAAAATAATTAAGGAAGCAAAGAGACAATTCAGTGCAAGAGGAAAGGCAGTAACCCAGAGAGAGTTGACGTCAATGCAATCCTGAAGTTTTGCATCGCTGCAAACTGGTGTCCTTTGTTTAGCAGTTCTGTCCTGTGCCGACCTTTGCAGGAAGAAAAAACAAAACCCCAAAGGAAACCGCATGAACCAAGAACTACGTCACATGACACATAGGAAAAAATGAGGGAAAATACAACAAGCAATGAAAAGAAGGGCGTGCATGCAGTTCTAAGGTGCGTGTCCATGTAGAAACTTCTCTTCGTTTGTGTTTTAATGTAGACTTTGCTCATTTTTGACTAAACATATTCTAAGCAGGAGTTTCCAGAGTTTCAAGCTTGTTCTAAACTGCAAAGCAAAATAAAACTGACATTATACAAGAAAATAACAGGCTCCGATTCAGACGTCTAACCCAAAACCTCTGAGTTTATTCCAGATTTCCACTTACCCTAAATAAATATGGAAAATGTGTGTGTGTGTGTGTGTGAGTCTAGCAAGTCATTCAATCTTCAATCAGAAAACTTTGCAGCTCAAGACAATGGACGAATTCCAATCTGATCACATGACTTGTTCTGATCACGACTTGTTCTGATCACGACTTGTTCTGATCACATGACTTGTTCTGATCACATGACTTGTTCTGATCACGACTTGTTCTGATCACGACTTGTTCTGATCACGACTTGTTCTGATCACATGACTTGTTCTGATCACATGACTTGTCCTGCCAGAGTAATTTTATTCAAAAGTGTTTGAAGGAGAATGTGGAGGTGGTGAAAGTAGCTCAAACTACCGTACACAACGTGCCTGTGTACGTTCACACAGACTATAGGAGGAAAAAAGACTTGGTCACCAATAAAACACAATAAACTCCAAGAGACAAATACAAAACAGTGCACACATTTCCATTTACACGCAGATGACTGTCACTTGTGGTCGAAGCCGACGGCCTTGCAGCTGCAGCACATTCAGCAGCAGCACTTCCCACTGCAGATGAGCATTTTCTCTGTCCCTGAACGTATTCGGCCGATCTAAAGACCATGCAGCTGTAAAATTGAAGACTTGTGTATTTCTTTGTGAGCAGAACGTATCAGCATCTTAGAAAAGGAAAGCTGTATCCTGGCACTGTTACAAAAGACACAAGAGGATGAAGTACTGAATGTTCAGCTCCTTGCAGTAGAACAGCATAAAAGAAAAGAAGCTACAACAATATCCTGATGCATGCTCAAACAATGTGCAACAGAAACTAGTTTTTCACTTCCTCACTTTAAAAGCGTGAGTACAAACAATCAACACATGGAAACTGAAGAGAAACGGCTGCACAGTGAGAGTCAGGGGCACAAAACGGTCTTCACTTCTCAACACAAGTCACTACAACCGGACGTCGTTTTAAAAATCAAATGTGAAAAGTGCTCGTTTTAATCTGGCGTACGAGCTGTGGAACAATGTGCAATTAAAAAAACAACAAGTTACTCACGCAAACGTATCTGTAAGTTGCACCATGATGGTTCCAGACGTGATCTTTTTCTTTATTTCTTGATAAACAGCAGAGTTACTGCAGACGATTCACTAACACACGCTTGATGAGACTTTTCAGACGATATGCTGCATTAAAACCTTCACTAATGTCCCGGTGAAAAGAACTCCCTAAAGCCTTTCAGCCACTCAGTTTCAGCCAATCAGCTTCAGCCAATCAGCTTCAGCCACTCAGCTTCAGCCAACCAGCTTCAGCCACTCAGCTTCAGCCACTCAGCTTCAGCCAATCAGCTTCAGCCAACCATCGAGCGTGAGCCACATGCACTGTGGGAAGTATGTCAAAGTCTTTCTACCCCCCCAAACAGGCAGACATTACAGCATGCCTTTACATCACTTCTCAGCTGGAACAAGACGCGTGAGACACAAGAATAAATATACTTGTTAGAATTACGTTCAACATCATGAGTGATCTTTAAAAAATTACAGTAAAAACAAACAAACTAATTTTAGTCTAAGTTTGGCAGCTTAATACTGCGAAAAGTAAACGGATATAAAAAGTGCTTGAAAAGCCCAAAGACACAAACTATGCTGCCGTTTAAAGGAAGTGTTCACTGATGCTGGAAGTAATCTGTGCAGCAGAAGTAATCTGTGCAGCAGAAGTAATCTG